ACATCATAAAACCGTGAATAACATTTGGTGTGATTTACCAAATGATCTGAAATTTCCATCTATGAAACTTCTAGGACATGTTTGGGATGTTGAGAACTTGGACTGTGCAAATTTCAAGTTCAATTGATTGAGATTTAGGCACATTAAGCTCATTTTACATTAAGCGGTTTACATTAAATGTTTTAGCACTGTAAAATATAGCTGAATTTGAATAACTTTTGGTGTGATTTACCAAATGATCTGAAAATTTCAGAATAGGTAGCCATAGAGTCTTCTATTGTGTGAAGCTGGGGGAAAATGGTAAACATCTAAGCTCTTTTTTTTGTACGTTAAGCCACATTAAGCTCCCCAAAAACAAGCTTAATGTCCCCCATTTTCTTTGTGGCTGGAAAAAATCTATGAAACCTCTAGGACATGTTGGGGATGTTGAGAACTTGGGCTGCGCAAAGTTTCAAGTCAATTGATTGAGATTTAGGCAGTTTATTTCACGTTAAGCTACATTAAGCCATTTTCACATTAAATGTTTTAGTTTGTCCCTGAAAGACCCCATATTTCTTGGTTTAGGTTTCCTTTAATACAGAGCTGGGATACACACTGTGTATTATACAGTTACTAGGGTTCCTATAAAATACTGTATTAGACTTTCACACTACCAGTCTACCTTCACTCTCTTCAGTATCAGGTGCACACCATTGCCCTAGACCAGTTTATGGATCATGAAAACATTGAACTATGCCTGCACTATGTATGTCAGTACAGCCACATGTGGTCTCAACAAGGGTTACTTGCTACAGGGCAGGAGCACAATTAGTACAGAACTGTCTCCCCATAACAAAGTGCCTGCACAAGGACCTTCAGGGTAGGATCCCCCCAAATATTATTTTAATGAAAACTGCAGATTTAAAAAAGTATGAAAACAACTTTTGAAATTACATTAATGTGATAAAGTTTATTTAGTGATTGGATTTAGATCTACTTTAAAGTGTTACTAAACCCACAACAGTAAAATCAGTCTGTAAATGCAATAAAGCATGCTTGTTATACTCACTGTGGAACCTAAGGGGATAATCCTCCACATTGTGCAAAAAGGCCACTTGATCCGGTCTTCTCTGATCCTCCCCTTCTTCTGTCCCCGATCCAGCTGCTGATAGTACAGAGCTCTAGGGGTCACTCTTCACATGCTCAGTTTAGTGTTTATGGCTAGAGAGTTTTTTTCTTTTGTTTGAGAGGGTGCATGTGATCAGCACAGGGCCAATCAGTACTGCCCAAACAGAGGGTCAGGGGTAGGGGCGGACTTTCAACTCATGGAGATCCGGGCAATAGGGGATCATGGGGCCCCTGTGACCTCGCCCACACCTAAAAAAAGCCTATGAAAAAGCCAATGAAAAGGTACCAGGGGCATCTCATGGGGCCTCCTACTGACCCCGGGCCCTCCGGCAGTGCGGGGGTGCTCGAATGGTCAGTCCACCCCTGGTCAGGGGTTATGCAGCCTCATAGGACAGTCAGAGCAGAATGAAATATTCTCCTACAAACTTTAACCAATGCTCAGTTGGACACAATACTGCTGATGAAAAAAATGTATTTAGCAGCTTATATTTACTAAAATACTTGCATTTCCATGTTGTATGTACTGTAGGAGACCAGATATGGTGAATGCAGGGTCCTGGGTTTAGTAACACTTTAATTCCATTTTTTTTTTTATGTAGCTTTCAGATTTTATATGTACCCAATTACCATCACTGTACAACATGCAGATTGGCAGATTCTCCATATTATTATTGGTAAAAAGGTCCTGTCCGAGCATGTAGGCCCTTTACAAAATAATCTGAAGCGAGTGACTGGGGACAAAGGGAAGGCAACTTTATTAAATACCTTCTTCAGCTCTGTGTATACAAAGGAGCATGGGGGAGCTCTTGTCCATAATGGGCATGGTATTGACACAGCTCCAGATGATCCACATTGGCTCACAATTGATATGATCCAAAAATATTTAGATAGAATAAAGGTGATTAAAGCACCTGGACCAGATGGCATACACCCACGGGTCCTTAAAGAATTGAGCTCTGTCATTTTAAAGCCATTGTTTCTAATTTATAGCGTCTCTTTAACCATTTCAATACCGTGCAATTTTACACCTTCCTGCCCAGGCCATTTTTCAGGTTTCAGCGCTCTCACACTTTGAATGACAATTGCGCGGTCATACAACACTGTACCCAAACTAAAATTTTATCATTTTCTTCACACAACTAGAGCTTTCTTTTGGTGGTATTTAATCACCGCTGGGGTTTTTATTTTTTGCTAAATTAACAAAAAAAGACCAAAAATTTTGAAAAAAAAAAACACATTTTTCTTTGTTTCTGTTATAAAAGTTTACAAATAAATAATTGTTCTTCATAAATTTAGGCCGAGATGTATTCTGCTATATGTCTTTGGTAAAAATAACCCAAATTAGGATGTATTATTTAGTTTGTAGGAAAGTTATAGAGTTCACAAACTATGGTATAGATCTGAATATTGATCAATCCTGAAGTACTGACAGCCAATCTAATTTTTTGAGGTCCAAGAATGTCAGAACAGTACAGATATCCCACAAATGACCCCTTTTTGCAGAGTAGACAGTCCGACGTACTTCATAAGAGGCATGGCGAGTTTTTTGAAGTTGTATTTTTATGTCATAATTTTTCGGAAAATGAAAACATTAAAAAAATTATTTTCACTATTTTTTTTTTTTTACATACTGTCACCAGTGCAGTACAGCATCATAATATAACTGGCATGGCGGTTAACAGGGACACTGACTGGTGACAGTATGAAAAAAAAAAATATATATTTTTTTTTTAATTTTTTTTTTTTTTTTATTATATTTAATTTTTTATTACATTTTTTTTAAGATTTTTTTTTCATATTTTACTATGACCAAAGTAGTACAATGTTACCATAGTAACACTGTACTACTTTGGGGAAGTGATCAGTATTTTTTTTTTTTTTTTTTACACAATTTGCTTATAGCAAAGAATTACTTTGCTATAAGCAAGCATTTACCTGAATGAAATCGATTCATTCAGCTTTTTTTTTTTTTTTTTTTGTGCTTAGCTGTGATTTGGTCACAGCTAATCACATGACATGTGCATGTGATTAGCTGTGAACATTCACAGCTAGGCACTAGTATAAAATGGATGGCATCATGAATGAAGCCATCCATTGTACACAACTGTCATGTGACCTGCTGTGATTGGTCACAGCAGGTCACATGGTACCAGCAACGGGAGTCGGTACTCGGATCTGTCATCGGCCGTGTCCGAGGTGCACGGCCTGTGACAGATCCCGCTGCTGCGCCGCTCTGCATTACCGCAAACGGCGCATGTGCGGGAGCACGCCAAATGGCGTGCACCCGGAATGAAGAGGCACATCTGAAGCCGCCAAACGGCCATTGGCCGGGCGGCTAATGGTTAATGACTGGCATAGTACCAATGTTGTGCCAGTATTTAAAAAGGGATCAAAATCTTCCCCAAGTAATTATAGACCTGTTAGTTTAACTTCTATAGTTGGGAAGATACTGGAGAGTTTAACCCCTTCCATACCGGGCACTTTTACCCCCTCCTGCCCAGGCCAGTTTTCAGGTTTCAGAGCTCTCACACTTTGAATGACAATTGCGCAGTCATACAACACTGTACCCAAACTAAATTTTTATAATTTTCTTAACACAACTAGAGCTTTCTTTTGGTGGTATGTAATCACCGCTGGGGTTATTTTTTCCTAAATTAACAAAAAAAACCAAAAATTTTAAATTTAGGCCAAAATGTATTCTACTACATGTCTTCAGTGAAAATAACCCACATTAGTATTTATTATTTAATCTGCAGGAAAATTATAGAGTTCACAAACTATGGTATAGATCTGAATATTGATCAATCCTGAAGTACTAACAGCCAATGCTCAAAGAAGCAATCCGGATCATCCTCCAGCAACCATACCAGTGACTCTACTTGATCTGCACTAAATGGCGGAGAAAAGTCATCCCTGCTTTCAGGGGTACTGGACAGAGCCAATTCAGCACAAGCCTGGATCAATGGCTGAACCTCAGAAAACACCATACCCTGATCAACTAAAGAATGAGCAACCTGCATGCACTCTAGCAGCTGATCCCTGGCATACTCCTTCAGTATCTGATAGCAGTATTCCCTGTCTTCTATTGCTAGCAGAGACAAGTACACAACCTCCTCAGGATGCATCCTTCACAAACAAGGCTATATAGGCTGTTTTAAAACTATAGTAATTGTCCCAAAGGAACTATACGATCCATTACAAGACAAAGATAACCAAAAATAATACACACGTTACAAAGCTGTGTATCAAGGCACAATAATATTATCTAAAATAAAGTGTTCATCAAAAACACTGATCCAGATAATGCACACCAGTGTAACACACATCTTATGTGCAACTTCTACTTCCATTTCAGCAAAATGGAGGAGTCAAGCCACACTGGTATGTTGTGGACTAGAAGTAGTAGACATATAGAGAGGTGGAGAGCCTAGAGCTGTGGATGATTTTCTACTCATTGCATTATGCTTCGAAAGACTCATTGAGATTGATTTCTTTGTTGGCATCGCAACAGCTAAATCACAACTGATTTTCAGCAACACGATCAAGCGATTACTCCCCCACAATTGGACAATGCTACAATATATTGCATAGCAGAAAATATTCGCAAGTAATTTCCACTCTTCTCCACCTTGGACTCAACAACTACTCATTTAGGAGACTTGTGTGAGATTTTCATTTAAATATATATCTTATCCAGGGGAGGACTGACCATTTGGAAACTTGGGCACTGCCCGGGGCTCAGGGACAGTAGGGGGCCCCATGAGATGCCCCTGGTACCTTTTTTAAAGGCTTTTTTGAGTTTGGGCAAGGACACAGGGGCCCCATGATCCCCTATTTCCCGGGGGCCCCATGAGTTGTCAGTCCACCCCTGATCTCATCTTTCATCTTAACAGTCACACAATCTCCTGCAGAAGCATAATAGAATGATTTTTGCCATAGAGTGTTTTAGTCTATGACATTAAAAAATTGGTTGTGTAGTCTAAGGCTTATTGTGGGTTTATGCCATTGATGGAAGAATCTGCCTTGCCTTGAATATGGCAACAAAAGACCTTTCTGAGCAAGTATTAATGGAGGACATCCACGGTCATGTAGAAGCATTAGCTTCTAGCAGGACACACAGTACAATGAAGTTGCCAATGGTCTCCACACTGTAGCCCTTTGCTAGCTGTTGTCCAGCCCATGGGGCACTATTGCTCCCACTTATTTGAGGCACTATCCCTAACAATGACACCAATGATATGGCACTATTCCTCCCACAAGTATCAATGATGGGGTACTATTCCTCCCACTGATACCAATTATGGAGCACTATTTCATCCACTGACACCAATGATGGGGCACTATTCCATCCACTGACACCATTGATGGGGCACTATTCCTCCCACAAGTATCAATGAAGGGTTATTATTACTCCCACTGATACCAATTATGGAGCACGATTTCATCCACTGACACCAATGATGGGGCACGATTTCATCCACTGACACCAATGATGGGGCACTATTCCATCCACTGACACCATTGAAGGGGTACTATTCCATCCACTGACATCATTGATAGGGCTCTATTCCATTCACTGACACCAATGATATTGCACTATTCCATCCACTGACACGAATGATGGGACACTATTCCATTCACTGACACCAACGATGGGGCACTTTTTTTATCCACGGAAACCAACGATGGGGCATTATTCCATCCACTGACACCAATGATGGCCCACCGATACCAGTTGGGGCAGTACTCCATCCAATGACACCAATTTTGGGGCAGTACTACATCCACTGACTCCAATGTTGGGGCAGTTGTCCATCCACTGACACCAATGTTGGGGCAGTAGTCCATCCACTGACACCAGTGATGGAACATTATTTCATCTACTGAAACCAGTGATGGGACATTATTCCATCTACTGAAACCAGAGATGGGGCACTATTCCTAATCATACTGACCACAGGCACTATGCAACTGAACACTATAAGCCTGAGGTACTGTATGCTATCACTCATGCTGGGCCTGGGAAATTTTCTACTTCCACTGGCCACAATCCATCCCCCCTAAGGTTTAAAGGACAGTAAGCTGGCCCTTTGTTTTGAAAGTTGGAAACCCCTGCTCTAAGCCATGAGCATAACAAGATATGTTGCAAAAATTGCTTAAAAGGTATAGGTTTTATTCATTCCCAGGGTTTCTGGGGTCCCACAATGAAAAAATACAGCATGTCACCCTTTGTAATACACTGCCTCTAATATTGGCTTATATCATGTTAGCAACTTGCCATTAGAAAGCAATTCTAACGTGACCATTATGGTTTTCCAAAAATGTAACACCACTGAGGATAGGTTAGCTGTTTATCCCACTGGACAGCCACTTCATCCAAGCTGGTTAACAGATTAGAATAATCCTTTTGCTTTCATAGTACTCGGCCTATATCTAACATCTAGAGTAAAGAAATAAAATGGCATAAACAACATATCATTTGCTTTTAGAGCATTTCCACAGCCCAGTCTCAGACTATGATGCTCAGAATGCTCTGTTCCCCAGCCATGCATTGGGATACACCAAATGTTAAATATAGTGTGCATACTCTGCAGCGAGCATATTGGGGATGCCATGATAACATATTATTCTCCCACTGGAGGCTAAGTCTGCGTTAACAGTATATAAGCAGATTCATGGAATTACACAGTCAGAATGATGCACTTAAGCGTTAGCCCTCATGCACACTTGCTGTTTTTACAGTGGCTGTTTTTGGCATTTGACTTTTTTCTACAGTCAAACTCGCCAGCATGTTATCCTATGTGTCCATGCACACAGGCTGTAATCAAAGTTTTTTGGCTGGAAAAAAAGCTCCAAAACTAGTGGGTTTCTAGAGGAGTTTTTCAGCTGTAAAAACGCTCTAACACCGAAAAACACGGTAAAACGCTGAAAACCAGCGTTTTTGGATTTTTGAAAAAAAAAAAACCCAGCTAAAAACGCAAACGCAAAAATGCTAATACAAAAACGCTCTAAAAAGCTGAAAACTCACATTTTTAAAGTGACTTTATACAGCTAACGTTACCAGCATTATCAAACCGTCAAAAAGTGTGCATGAGGGCTAAGGACTCATTCACACTAGATACATTGTTAAAAATATTGCAATATTTTCCACATGAACATTAGAAGATGCTTAGAAAACTTCCAAACCCTATGGTGATGTACAATAGTGGAAGCAATGTCAATGCATGCATTCTGGAATATTCTTCAATTAGATGTAGAGCAGTACAACCAAAGCTCCTTTGGCTGTACTTCTGTGGATCACAGGAGTAGTTTGTTCTGCACTCCTGTGACCAGTTTTCAGCTGACAGCGGGCTGAAGTTTGCTGTCGGCTGACGTCATTCAGTCGGTCCAGGATGGGGAAAGATCCCGACTTTAAAGTTGGAATCCACCCCAGAGTCTGGAGCTGCACCTGGCTCAGCCTCACAGCAAGCCGCTGAGAGCCTGAGCCAGCTGCGCCGTGCTGCCCTCCACACTCCAGTGAGCGCAGGGGAGGCAGAACAGACCACGGTGACCAGGGCTGCTGGTAGAAACTACAGGGCCCCATACAGCCAACGTGACAGGGCCCCCAACTAAACACAGTTTACTATGCTTGTTATGAATGAACACAGTGAGTGATCGGTACCAGTCATCACTCATTGGGGGTTATTTACTAAAACTGATGAGTGCAAAATCTGGTGCAATTCTGCATAGAAAATAATCAGCTTTCAGGTTTTATTGTCAAAGCTTAATTGAACAAGCTGACGTTAGAAGCTGATTGGCTACCATGCACAGCTGCATCAGATTCTGATTGCACCAGTTTTAGTAAATCTCCCCACCTGTGTTCATTCAGGAAAGGAAGGGGCTGTTAAATGTGACATTTACAGCGGACCCTTCCCCTACTATTCATCCTAAGGATCCTATAGTGTGTTTGCAGCTGGGAAGGAGAGAGAGAGAAGCTGGCAGCATTGTAGGGGTGGGGGGCACACAGGGGGGCTTGGGCAGCATGGAGAAATGTATGATGCAGCGGGAGGTGCTGCAGAGACAGCCATATTGTGCTAATCACTCTCCCTGCCCACATCCGATTCACCCAGCTGCCTGGGCCCCCTGCTGGTCTGGGCCCCGTACAGGAGGACCAATGGTACCCCCTTATCTACAGCCCTGACAGTGACTGACAGTCCCACTCTTTGCTCAGAGCGGCTCTGAGAACTCAGCGATCATCCACACAGATTTTGTTGGTAATTCAGCACCCAGATAGCCCGACAAATGTAAGTGCAATTAAAAGGTTCAGTTCACGCAAAGGGATGTTTTATTTTGTATTGTCTTAAGAGAAATGTGGGAATAGAAAAAAACAAAACAAAAAACGTGCTTACTCACCTTTCTGCTGCAGCTGTCCCTCACCAGCTCCAAGTCTGACCATAAGGCTAGGTTCACACCTATGCAGGTTGTGTTTGAGCGGTTTCTGCATTGCGTTTTTGCCGCGTTTTTTATTTTTTTATTTTTCTTGTTACTAGGCAGATTTAAAATGCAAAACGCATACAAATGCACCAAAAAACATGGCAAAAATGCACTACATGCTTTTCTGCAGCATTTCCATTGAAGTCTATAGAACCAAAAATGCAACTTTTTGCATTAAAAAAAGTTCCTGACCCTTTGCCAAAAAATGCATCGGGTGAAAACGTGCAGATGTGAACATGTCCCATAGGAAATCATGTTAAATGGACTGTACTGCGTTTATGCAAAACGCTGCGGATAATGCTTAGGTGTGAACCTATGGTAAAGACTGCTGATCGCTTAGTTCTCAGGTCCGCTCTGAGCAGAGAGTGGTTACTGTCAGTTGGTGACTGCCCCTCCAGGGCTTACTGGAGCGCTGGGCAGGAGAGGGGGCTGGACCATCTGGCTAAAGCTGAGAGGCTGTTCCAGCTGCCCGTCTGTCATTTGTGTAGATTCCAACATTTTTGTCAGGGTCATTCCAGAGTTGGGAGTGGCTCTGACATCTGGGTCACAGGAGAGCACACGTGAACTTATGTGACCCACAGCTTTGGCCATACTTCTCTTTTAAATACCCTGACAGTGAAATCTCCTGCCATAATTCCTGTCCTGGGAGTTATGGGTGTTTCTGCAAACCTTTGGATGCTTCAGCACCTCCTGTTGCATTTTCCATATTGTACAATAAATAAAAAACAGAGAGAGTCTGAACCTACCATAATGGCCAATGTTAGTGTGTAGAGCCAGGAATTCGAGCTCAAGGACATCACCAAGAGCCCACTAGAAATAAAACAAACTGCCAGTGGTTTAACTCTACACCATCTACCAAAAAATGACATATCAGTTCTGGATGGAGGGACCCTTTAAAATGTCACTGCGGGTTAAAGGACATTTAAAAATCAGTGTTTTCATGCTGCCCCATTTATTTACTGTACACGGGAAGATAATACATTCAAGAAGACAATCACAAAAAGAAGACCTGGTGATATTTCTAAACTTTTTGACATCTTCTCTTTCTGCTCAGAGTAAACAGATCATCAGAGAAATACAGAGGATGCCATTGCTGATTTCCTTCTAAAAATACTAGATGCCTGGCTGTTTCTGGCTTTATTACTTCCCGAGCTGCAGACCAATGTTTGCAGATCAGAAAAATCAGAACTCCTAATATACTGTACATATTCATATCAGGATTTTGACTCAGAAAGCATTGAAAAAGGTCATTCTGACAGCCAGGCATTTATGACTTTTAGAAAAGGATAAACAGTGGCAACCTCCATGTTTCATGATAGATCTACTTTAACATCCCTAGCGGTCTGATTATGTCCATATTTCTGTGCTCAAAGCGGTACTTTTTTTGTATGGAAATATGTAGTTTTTTTTATTGTAGGCCCGTAATTTTTAGGAATAATTCACTGAAATCTGTCTGAACAAGAGTCTAGTAAACGTGCCGGGTATGTTAAAATTTGAAACATGAAATCATAAATTATAATTTA